TATTCGCTGATTTTTTTATTTGCCGATTTTTATAAGTTGGCATATATTGACTCAAATCAAAATATTAACATACTGTGTAAAAAAACTGATTATAGTTAGAGATAGATACATTGATATCTCATATTTTTTAAAGCTCATTTGCACATGCTTTTTAAACAAATAAATTGAAATCCAATCCGATTATCAAAGTTACAAAAAAAAGGCTCAAAAATCCGAACATCTTACCAAATTTTTCGCTAAAAGATCCGAATATGGTACCAAATTTTCTGAAAATCATTATCACATGTGAGTTTAATATTATTACTTATAATAGTAAGCCAACCTTATTTTTTAAGTCAAATTTATCTATTTATTCAACAACTTTTTATGAAATTTTATCCTAAAAAATTTGATACAATTATAATATGATACAATTACTTAACTTACTATAATATGAAAACAAATTATGATATGATATAACTATCAAATTTATTATTTTAATATTATATACATATAACTTAATATATTTATTTATATATGTACATGTACACACTTCCCCAAATTTTAATTCTAATTATTTATTTCTAAATACAAAAGATTAAAACTTTTTTTTTCTACTCTTGTGTTCTGAATATCAAGTAAAATCGGGAATAATTTAATTCGGGGTGGCCAACTTTTTTAAGAGAGATTCTCAGCTCGTGATATATTGATATTGCTTTTACTTTCCACACATTAAAAAAATACTAAAATAATCTCAACATTATATATAGTCAAAGAATTCAGCACATTTGTACCGACAAAAAAAAAATCAGCACATTACACTTATTTGATTCTCATTTTTCTGACATTTATTATGATGGAAAATATTCATAACTCTTTAAAAGAAAACATTATTTAAATATTTGAATTTGGAATGGGATATAATTCATGTTGGGCGTGTAAGTAAAAAAAAGTTATCATAAATAGAAAGCAATTAATGAAGAAAAAGGTTTGATAAGAATTGACCTGTCATTTTTTAAAAATGGAAAATTTTTTTATATATATATAGATTTCTTTCTTTATCTTTCTTTACGAAAATTAGTAGTGAAAAAATTTAGGAGCATTTAATGCATACATTTTTTTAGAAACTTCTTAAATATATGCATTAATTTCTTTCATATACACAGTTTTCAAATAAGATCAAATCAAATATGATAAAAATTATTTTTTTTCTTAAATAATTTTATTAATATTTACAATAATTTTATGATATCCATTATAATTAATCACAAGATTGATTTTTCGTGACTTAGGTTGATAATATTTTGGTCAAGATAAATAATAGTAAAACATGTTTTTTATTAAAATTGAAATATATTAACTGGTCTTTAGAATTTATTTGTATATTATTGGCAAACATGATTATTTTTTTTTATCATTTTTATTTATTTGTATAATGAAATTCGTGTAAATATATTTTTATTGCAGATTATGCTAAATAACTATAAATCCTTATAATGCTATGATTGTAAACGAATCGAATCAAAGCGAATACTCAGAGATTCGATTCAGATTCGTTAAAATATTTGAAGATTCAAATTCGTATTCGATTCGTTAACGAACTCATTTTTTTATTTGTATTCGATTCGTTTAGATTATTCGAACACATTCGATTCGGTTCAAAATTCGTTTTTAAATATATATATATATATATATATATATATATAATTACAAAATATTATAATTACAAAAGATACTTTTTACTTTTCATATATATTTAGGAAAATTTGTTAATTTATGATGTTTTTACTTTTTATGTCATAAAAATAGTAAGAATATATATATATATATATATATATATATATACACATATATTATAAACAAAATGTATACTGTATATATATTTATAAAATTTATATAATTATTGTTAATGAATCGAATATTCGAATTTTGAATCAAATATTTACAAGTTCGGATTCGTTTAACTTTCGAATATAAAACATTATTCGTATTCGAATTCGAATATTTCGAATTTGAATCACAAATATCGAATCGAAACAAAAAAAAAATGATTTGTTTACAAGCCTATATAATGCGAATTAGAAAAATCTCGATTATTAAAGGGATTGAGTTTCTTGCATTTTCTAAATCAAAGTTATTTAATTAGTATACAAATTAAATTCTAAAAAATATGTGTGTTTGTTTATATTTATACACTATTTAATTTTAAATCTATTCACATATTTTAAATTGATTACATAAATAAATAATACTAACATGCATTAAATATTTTTCATTACATAAAATAAAAAGAAAAAAAACGTACACCTTTTATAAATAATAATGACATTATATGACAAAAAAATTTTTAATAAAACAATAATTAAGTATTATATGGAAATAGATGTGTTAGTGAAAAAATATATTAATTATTTTAGAAGTTACCTTTAACATGCTCATATTTAATGTTATGTCTAAAAAACAATGTTAGATTACAAGAGGTGGAAATAGATTATAACTATATTATTTTTTAGACTTAACATTGATTAGAAGAGTGAGAAAATATATCATAACCATTTTTTTTAGACTTAAACGAACAAGGCCTATGAAGTCATTTAATAT